AAGTTATTTTTCTCTGATGCCTGAAAAATCCTTTCCAATTAAAAATGTAACTAAAAAAGAACACATATTCTTTAAAATTATTCAATGGCATTCAATATTCCTCAGGCTACTTTCTTAGCAAACTATAATAGATCTTTCACAATATGAACTCTTTGAAAATCCTTCCTCTCTTCCCTAAACCTCGTTATAGATCTGGATTCTGCAGATGAATAAGGTCTTCTTTCCTACTAAGTCTCCACATATGCTTGGTCTTTTGCATGGATTACCCTTCAACGATTCTCTAACTCCTACTGATATGTTATAAATCAGCATCATTTCTTTCGCTATGTGCTCCTAAGTTGAGTACTGCATTTGCTCTCACAAAACTGCTTTTCTTTTTTCATAATTTTCATAATTTTGTTTTAGTTGGGGTTATATTTATGGTACACAAGTGCAATTTTGCCAAACGCATAGACTGCGTAGTAGTGAAGTCAGAGTCTGAGACGGACTCTTGCTCTGTCTCTGAACCTTGAAATGCAATGACGCAATCTCTGCTCACCGCAACCGCCACCTCCTAGGTTCAAGCAGTTCTCCTGCCTCAGCCTCACGAGTAGCTGGGATTACAGTGCATGCCACCATGCTTGGGTAACTTTTGTATTTTTTTAGTCGAGATGGGGTTTCATCATGTTGGCCAGTCTGGTCTCAAACTCCTGATCACATGATCTGACTGACTTGGCCTTCCAAAGTGCTGGGATTACAGGTATGAGCCATGTCACCCTATGTACACAGGATTTTCTAGTCATCTTTAATTTCCTCCAGTACATATTGGGAGATACCAACCACTAACCATTTATATTAAATACCTTTGAATTTCTCCTACTGGGAAATTGTCTCAAAGCAGTGATTAACACAACCCAGATACGCCCTCAGCATTACCAGTCCAGCTACCAGATGAGGCAGTACCTCAAGATACATCACCAGAGCAAGTCATGTCAACCTGCACCTCCTCGCTGGGCTCCTTGAATGTCTTTTTAAGCCCTTGCTTTCCTCCAGGGAAGCTGAAGCTGTTTCTTTAGGTGAGAATCTGGCCACTTCCCCACTGCTAGCTCTGGAATGAAGCTACTTTATTTTAACTGCATCTTGTCTTTGGTTTTTTGGCTTTGCAAGTGGAAAGCAGTCAAACCTGCATTCTATTACATCCCCAGTAGCTGGGACTAAGGGTGTGCACCACTCTGCTTGGCTAATTATTTAAATTTTGTTTACAATTTTTAAAATTTTGTTGTAGAGATGGGGTCTTGCTCTGTTGTCCAGACTGGTCTCAAACTCCTGGTAGTTCAGAATGGTCTCAAGAAATCCTCCCACCTCGGCTTCCCAAAGTGTTGGGATTACAGGTGTGAGCCACTATTCCTGTCCTTCGACATTTTAAAACCTGCAGTTAGGATTGGTAGAAGTCCTTGAGCAGTTTTGTTATCACTCTCAATAAGAATGTTTCTTGCTCAATCTAAAAAATATTTTCCCAAAAGATGTGTGAAAGTGATGTTAAAAGAAAGAAAGGAGAAAACAATGATAGAAAACAGAAGCAATAGATGACTTAATGTCCTGACCATTTATACAGTTTTTATACCTAAGTTTTACCTTGGTTTATTTGGCTTCTTAGCATCCTTTTTATGTATTAGAAAAAAAGAGGAAAGAATAGCAGAAGGTTGGTTTGTAAAGTCTTCTGAATCTTGGTAGTCCTCCTATATCTGACCTCATTGCTTTATACAGAGTTGATAAACTGCAAAGGCCTTTTTATTGATTTTTCCAGTTATTTTAGTGTTCTATTATACATAATTTAAATTATTTAAAATAATTACATAAATAAATGTTAGGGATATTTAATTCACTATATTCTTGAAGAATATTTTAAATGAGTACATATCTGAAATGATTTTATAAATTAATTCATATTCCTTATTTGGCAACAGGGGTTATTAAAACCCAAATGGGGTATATAACATAAGCTCTAATATCCTGCAAGTATAAATAGACCCACAGGACTGCAAAGTTATGCAAGTCCAACCTGAGCAATCTAAAACTCCTGGGGCAACATATAGGGCGCTGGCTAGAAGCCAGTACCCCCGGCCCTAGTTTAGCTGCCATTGCAATGTTCTTCTTGCTGGAAGCTCTCAAACTTTTAAAATTTAAACTCTGATATTTTGGGAAATAAAAAATCTCCTTATCTATGATTTCCAAACCTACCTGGAGAAATAATAATGTGCAACATAGTCTAGCTTCTGTATGAACTTGCTTTCTGTAGTTTTTGTTTAAAACAACAGTTTTCATTATATATGTTTTTAAATATAAAAATTATATTATCATATTAAATAGGGTTATTTAAATTTTATTTACTCTTCCAAGGATGTTGAATTTTTTTTTCATCATGCTTATAGCCTTCAAAATCTTCGAAGGTATGTAATGGTACTGCTTAGTTAGAACCTTTTGATGCTTTAAACTCTAGTTTGTCATTTGAAGTATGAGCCAGGTTTGTAGGTAGCATTTTATTTCATATTTAATGAAATATAAAGTTAATGTCTTTAAACATTAAATGATGTAGACAAAATACTCTTTTGCAAAATAAGTTGTTTAAAGTGTTTACCTCTTATGTGGTCAACAAAGATTTCTGAAGGTGATTCAGGTCATGTGTCTAATGCAGAGCTGATCTTGTTAGAGGTATGAGATGATCTTACTTTAAAACTCAAATCCTGTCATTAAATCACTGACAAAGCTTTCATTTCAAATGTGGCCTTTAAATGCATAACACACAGAAGGACAATTAAAGATACTCATAGTCTGTTATCATTGCCATTGGTTCTGCTAATGAGCTTTGTGACTTGTTTCAGAATAAAAATGCTACTCCTGAGAAAGCTTATCAACCTAAGTAAGTGAGTCTTTATCACTTTGCCCTTAAATAGTTAGTGTTCTGCGCCTTTGAGTTTGGGGAGCAGTGCTAAAAGAAACTCTTTATAAAAGAGCTATTAGTCTTGTGCAGTCTAGGATTTGACAGCTCATGAGGTTACACAGACCATTACATTACCAACATAATTTCCAATTCCTTAGGCATCTCTAGCACTTCTGGAGAAATACTTTGGCTGTTTTTAATTTTTTTTTCTTTTTCTTCATTTTTAAAAATGTCACTAATCTGTACTACATTTTTCAGTGAAAATATATGCTCTTGGTTGGAAATTTTCATTCTAAATGTCTATTTTATACCTTATGTGACAATAACCTGTTAATAATATTTTAGGTAGAACAAACAATACAAATAGCAAAAAGATATTTAATTGGCTTTTGAAAAGAAATATATCTCTTTATTGAAATAAATTCGAAGGATTAGAACCCTATATTAGCATTAGGTTATTATTTTTAATTTTGAAAAACTTAGGTAAGAGATAGCTCGCTGAGCTTCTGGAGAGGAATGAACTAGGCCTTTAAGTAGGAACATTCGAATGTGGACATTTCTCACAGGACAAATAGCATAGGTGTAGTTTTATAATAAAATGCCAGTGTTTGACAATGTATTTAATATATACTTATGTTTAATGAATTTGTAATCTGAATTTAATCAATAGACAGTCTCATAAGTTCAAACTTTAAGAATAGCAGTTATATATTTCCTATTTCACCTTTGAAATTTTTTTGGAGAAATTAGTATATCAGAACAGCTATCTTCTTAGGTAAAAATTGATATTAAACCAATTGTCTGTTGTATTATCTCAAGGTATGTTATTTTATTGATCTTAACTTTTTCACTAAAATTTTTTGTAAACTTTAAAGAGAAACTGGATATTTGTTTATTGCCTTGTGGTCTTTCATATAGAGCAATGCTGCATTTCTAAGGCACTGAAGCTGACATTTTCTGTTCTGTGTTACGTATCTTGTGGATGTCAGGGTGTAACAGGCAAGGTGAAAATTAACTCAAGCCACACTGTGTCATCAAATGGTTCTTATTTTCTATTTTCAATCACTCTTCTCCTTCTACCTTATGCCAAATATTCCATTTCAGCTATTTACAAAAGTTGGGAACACAGTTATGAGAACCACATGAGAAAACAGAGGATAAGCAAAATTCCTCTTTAAAAAGCTAGGCCTTGGCAAGCTCCTATGTTGCTATGCTGCTACATACTATTCGGACTCATATGTCGTGTGTTAGGATGGTAATGAAGGTCAGTTGTTCACAAAATCTACTCTAGACTCGATTTTCTTATTAACATTCCAAGTTATAAGAAGCCTGTTAAAATACTATTGTTTCAAGCTAAAGGAATTTAACTCTTGTAGAGAATCTGACCAAAATGTTTCCTTGATCCAAACAGAGTCTCTTGTATAGTAAAATGTTACACATTGAATTGGTGCAAAGTACTTGTCTGTGAATTATTTCCTTCAGGATTGTCAGATTTATTATCCAGCCTTAAAAGGCTCTTATTTGATTTTTGTCTTGGATTCTTATTTCAGGGCTCAGGAATTGGTGACATCTTTGTCTTCAAGCACTTGCAGAAGCAATAAGAAATTTGTAAGGTCTAAGACAAACATGAAAGGGGAGAAAAAATATGTAAAATATCTTTGGATACACAAAGTACCCTTCATTGTATTCAGTTTTTGAAAATTATACTTTTTCTTCAAAAATTGAGATGATAAATTAATATATTTTATTATAATTTTACGGCCAGTGTTTGTTATTATTTTTTGATCAATGAAATTAGTGTTTCCTTAATATAGAACATACTTTTCTGTAGAAATTACATACTAAAAGAAAATATCAACTTTAAGAGTAGCAAGAATGAATAATTTTAGGTCATCTAGGAATCCTGTTCTGGAAAATATGTTTAACAGTACATGATAATTTAAATCTGGTAACGTTTTATATAATTACATTCAAACATGTGAAGAACAATTAAAAGGCGATTAACTCTGAGATTTTAAAATTTGACCCATGGTCCATATTCTCTGCTTAGAAAATTTTAATTCTTTAATTTATTTACTAATATGGTTTGGCTGTATCCCCACCAAAATCTCATCTTGAATTGTAGCTCCTATAATTCCCATGTATTGTGGGAAGGACCCGGTGGGAGATAATTGAATCATGGGGGCAATTTCTTCCATACTATTCTTGTGGTAGTGCATAAGTCTCATGAGATCTGATGGTTTATAAGAGGTTTCCCCTTTCACTTGGTACCGTGTAAGATGTGCCTTTCACCTTCTGCCATGATGGAGAGGAACTGTGAGTCCATTAAACCTATTTTTTTAAATAAATTATCCAGTCTCAGGTGTGTCTTTTTAAGAAGTGTGAGAATAGAGTAATACATTTACTTTGAGTCATTTTAGTTAAAAAATATAATCTAGTGTCTAGATTTCTTCCATTGTATTTGAGAATCAAATTCATCAAAGATATTTCAAGAATGTATTCATATGCTAAAACTTGATGTAAATAGTTTTTGAAAGGTGATTCAGAATGCTTCAGATTAATTGGTATTGACCCTTTACCTCTGTTACATCTATATTTTAAAAATTGCTTTAGAAAAAATTAAAGTGATTATTTTCTAATTGATACATTTGCTTAAGAAAGGTCAGAAGTTCTTATAAGGATTATTTTTATTTTTTAATTAAACTAAAACTCTTTGTGGTCCCTCTGGTCAAGGTATCATATTCTTATGATCATCTTTATTGCATTATTTTATGAATTTATTTTATGAAAATCCAACATATACTCTGTTTGTCTTAATGCAAATTTCATTCTATAGTAAAATTGTTAATGTATGTTTGACAATATATGCTTTGAAATAGCCAAATGAGAAGAGTAAAGACTATTGCTATAGAAAATAAGTCAGCCATCATGACTTGTGTTTTGGCAATGACTTAAAGACAGGCAGAGGACGTGGAGATCTTTATAGTGGAAAAAAGGGAAGGCATCACGTATGCACTGATTGGATGCTTTTGGCATGGGGAATTTAGGAGGTTTAACTAGAAACGAAGTATTCTGTGTGATTGCTTAGTGGTGTATGATTATCTGTTGACTTTGCAGACAAAAATTAGAAAAGCTGTCAGTTATTAATCAAATCCTAGCCATCCTGGCTTGACTGTTAGATAAACTATTCTTTAGCTTCCTGAATTGTCACTAGAGACCTTGGAAGCCACCCTGCTCAGAAGAACTGAGTTCTAATGGTGAAGAGACACACTAAGTAAAGTCTGTAACAAATTGTTTATGCAATGATAACTAATCAGTTTATCAAAAAGTTAAGGAGAGGAAAGATTATTTATAAATTTAAACATAAAACTTTTAAGTGTTATTTAATTCCTTCCTTCTGAGTTTAAAAGAAAAACTTAGTTATTCCATCAGTTTGATCTCTATTGATGAGACATTAGGGTTCATTTTGAACATTTATGTGGCTGTATTAAAAAGATATTTTTGAGTGTTACACAATTCCATTCCAAATTTCAGGTGTTTTAAATCATAAGAACCTCTATTTTGTCATATAAGTAGTCCAGGAACTGCAATTCTATGTTATTTTATTCAATGGATCAACAACATTGTCCAGAATCCAGGTGTTTCTGTCTTTCTCTTATGTCTTTCATAAGGAGTGTGGCAGATAGAGTAGATAGCTTACTCCATTTTCAAACACCGCTTACTGCTTTCCTCTACCATAGAGGCTGGAAAGAAAAAAATTATCTTCCCAGACTCTTTTCCTTTAAAAAGAGCCCCTGGGGAAAAACTTTTCCATGAAGTCCTTATGCCTTCCTCTTCCCTTCTTCTTCCTCTTGACTGTTTTGCCCATAGACATGTTGGCCAAGGCCATGATGTACAGCCATTCTGCACTAATAGGGATAATTAGAGAAACTTTCTTTTTAATATCCTTAGAGCTGCTATACAGAAGCCAGAAAATATCAACTTTCACGCTTTTTGTTGAGTAAGAAAAATAAAAATTTGTACCTGTTAAAACTCTCTTTCTGTTACTTACAATGACATGAAACAAAGACACAGTTTCTTTTTTTTACAGTATATCTCTGGTGAAAAAAAATGGCTGGTGCAGTTCCAGAATCACATACAGACATAACATTATTTAAGAAAGAAGATGGCATAAGCTTCTATGTGTTTCTCTTGTAGTGAAAAAAAAACCTCTCCCACAAAGCTTACCAGCAAAGTTTCTCCAAGGCTTCATTGACCAAGACTAGGTCACATGAAAATTTGTAAAATAACTGCCGACAAACAAAACAAAACAAAACAAAACTAATATGATTGGATTGAACCAATTACAATTTTTACTGGGGCTTGAAACAGCACCACCATTTTTGAGCTCATGGCCTTGGAAGAAATAGACAAAACAGCAACACTACTTCCGCTAGGAAGAAAGAAGAGAATACATATGGATAGGCAAACAGCACCGTTCTCCACGCTGATTTAGGATGTAAAATTTTTAACAATGGAATAATATAATTTTGATATGACCTAACATAGAGCTAAGGCCATAGGTAACTTGACATAATGAGAACACCTTGTTTAAAATACGAAGTTCTCATTCGTAAAAGATGTACATATATTGTTAAAAAATAAAAAAGAGAGATAAACTCTAATTGGATTGTTTTAATTATGACAGGATTCTTGGGAAATTTAACATTATTGAATGAATACAAAGAGTTTGTTTTCCCATTGTCGATTCCCTCTTACATGGAATTAGAGAAAGAAGGAGAAGAGGGGAGGAGTGGAGGAAGACAACCTCTCCTACTCCACTGCTACTGTAATAAATGTTATTGTATCTCTTACATTTTGATCTTCCTATTACGATTTCCTTTGAACAACAAAATAATGCTAAAAACCATATAGATAATCCACTAAATTGCAGTACCTCCAAGCTCTCTTCCAAAATAAAAGAAAATTAATCCATAAAAATAATCTGAATTCTTAGGATTAAATTTGTGATTTTTCCATTTTTATATCCATATATAAGGCTTCATAATCTTCTGAGCAAATTCATAAAATTTGCATGATTCTGAAGAACTATATTAGTACATGTGAGTTCCTGAATAAGGATTTCAAAATCAGGTACAAACTTTATCTAAATACATATATTATTAAAAATTTCATTAGTTTGCATTACAGAGGCAGAGCCTTCGACTAATGATCCTGGTAAGCTATCATTTTTATTTAATATTTTTTTTTATTTTAAAGGATAGTCTTCAACTTATCACTATATAAAACAGTTTTTTAGACGTTCCTCCAAAAACATGCAATTTTTTTCTTAAAACATTGACACCCAATGATACTAGTTACAGTGTAGTTTATGCCATTGGTCTTCCTGTGAAGTTTTATTCCTAATTTGTCCATTTAATCAGTTCTGCTCTTCAGAGTTATGCAAAAAAATCGCAATAGATGCTCAGAACATTAATGAATTCGACATTTGTCCAGGACAAATACAGTCAGGCAAAAAAATGATAAAAGCTTCCAGGCTTTGGTGTTTTATTAATAATAAAAATATTTATAATGAATGAATTTTCTCTAGACTTCTGTGCTTTGGAAATATATATATATATATATATATATATATATATATTTTATAATAAGTACAATCTATTTCATAAATAAATATAATATGTATTAGTTTATATGAACTTTAGAGATATCAAAAATAAATTACCAGATGCAGTGGTGCATGCCTGTAGTCCCAGCTACTCAGAAGGCTGAGGTGGAAGGATTCTTTGAGGCCCACCTGTGCAACACTGTGATTCTCCATCTCTTAAAGACATAAAATAAAGTCCTCTATTAGTAGAACCCTTGAAATTTATGCTAAATAGTTTTTTTAATAGAAATAACCTGAATTCAAAGAAATTTTATAATTTCCTTTTTTTTTTTTTTGAGGAAGAAAGAGAGAAAGAAAGAAAAAGAATAAAAAAAAAGAAAAAGAAAAAAAGAATAAAGGAAAGGAAGAAAGAGGAAGAGGAAGAGGGAGAGAGAACAGGGGTGTTGCTTTATTGCTAAATTTATGCTAAATAGTTAAAGGATGCAGTGACTTTCAAAAGCGAATGGATTCTAGGTCAAGGCCTAAAAAAGGCTTATAGCTTGCCTTCTTAGAAAGTGGTACATCATTGAGGAAGCTTTGGCTAGCTGCTTTGAATATATGATCACACAAAACAGACAAACCTAACATAGAGCTAAGGCCATAGGTAAGACAAACCATCCCTGCAGAAGCATCTTAGACCAGCTATCCTGCCAGCCAAAATCCAGATGATTACAGAAAAATCATCCACCTGAATTGCTGGCATACAGAATTCTCAGCCAATTAAATCTTTATTTTAAATATTGAAGTGGCTTGTTAAACAATAACAGGTAAATAAAAAATGTTATTAAAGACATTCAGTTCCATTCATAGTTTCCCTGGGCTGAGACTTCCATTCAATAATTATATTTTGTAAACCACAAACAAAAAAGTTATACTTACTAAATACTAACTATATGCCAGACACTAAAGATACAATTAAAGCAGCAAGATTCAAATTTTAATCAATGGATTCTGGGTAATTTTCTAACTTGCCTCCCTATTTTCTGCTATTTCATATCTTATGCATTAATGCCTTTGCAATGAGTAAATTGCCCTAAACACCATTTTCAAACAGCATTTGTGTGCCTGTGTGTGTGTGTTGATGTGTGTGTGTCTGCACACACACAAGCCAAGGATTCCCAGAAAAAAGTTATCCTTTCCAAACACTTCCCATAATCACAATCATGCAAAGAAAACTACCAACTCATTGCAATTTAAAATAACGAGAGACATAGTCAAGTCATAAATGAATTAATATGAGGACAATGAATAAATTTCCAGAAACAATCAACCAAACATTCATAGACTGACAATTAAACAAGGTCTAGGAGAATCCTTTGTCAGATGTAGAAAAGTAAGTGAGCCACTGTGGATCATGAAAAAACTCTTGTTCAAAGAAATGAAAAGTGAATGGACATAACATGTTTCAGGAAAAAGTATTCTACTTGAGAAGCATTAAAAAATAAGAATGATGAGTAAAGTTCAAAGAATGGATTTTCAAAAGTTATATTTGATGGTAGACTAGGTCAGACCAGGTAGAGAATGTGTCCTCTTTGAAGACCAATATAAGTATATGATTTTCCATACAAGAAAACAGGCTTAAATAATGTGAAAACTGGGTATTATATTTACCTAGCTAATAAGTGATAACAAAATAGCACTTTGAATATAAAATTCTACACATAATTTTATTGTATAGTATCATAAATTTTATCGTACTTTGGATTAAACTAATGTAGACCTTTAGTACTCAATTTTTAGGGGTCTTTTAGGCAAAGATGACACTATTTTTTTCAGTTTTTATTATTAAATACATATGTGTGTGTGTGTATATATATATATATATATATATATATATATTTGTAGTAGAGAGGAGGTCTCACTATATTGCTCAATCTGGTCTCAAACTACTAGATTCAAGCAATCCACCTGCCTCATCCTCCCAAAATGCTGAGTTTACAGGCATGAGCCACTGTGCCCAGCCAACACACTGCATTTTAACTGACTTTGGCTAAAAAACTAAAATGGCAAAACAATGCAAGGATACATCTGCCTTCCACTGAAAACATGAGCTCAAATGGTATCAACAGAATCTTTCTCTCTCTCCTGTCTCTTCTCTCCTCTCTCCCCTCTTAGCAGTCTGCTTCTATTCCATTCTCAAACAAACTTTCATATTATTGTTGCAATGTGGTTTTCTCTGACCTTCATGTTACATTTGTCTAGGTTCAAATCATTAAAAGAGTCCAAGAAAGCCCATGAGAACTCCTGAGAAGCAATCTGATTCCACTGGAGAAATATATTGACTGATCTGCTGGACTGGACCTGAAGCTGACACTTACAACTTGTCCTGTGGGTAGTATAAATGTGGGTTTGCCTTTCGCATGTAGAGGAGTTATAGAAGTAGAAAGAAATGCAGCAATGCCTATTGTCTGTTAGCAGGATCATCTATTGAAAACCACATTTTGAAGACGAAATTAAGATCTTGAATGTATAAGCTATAATAAGTCTCTACTATGGCAGAGAGAGAACGTGTCCTGATTCCTAGCTCAAGCAAATGTCTGTATGAAAAGCCTTTCTGTCCACAAAAAATTGAGCCTTGTTTAAGCACCATGTACTAGGCAGCACCTTAACTCTTTTCTGCTAGATAAACATAATTTTTTACAGCTTTTCATTCTAACTATATAAAAATACCATTTAATAAAAAGTTTCCTCCAAAAAATGTGTTAGTATTTAATGGGAAGTTTTTTAATAAAGCTGTGGCAAACGGAAAGGACAAGATCTAATGGTCCTCTGAGGTGATAATGGTAAGCATATGAGAGTTGCCGGTATTAAAATTTCTATATTGCGCTCATTCATAGATACTAGTATGTTTTTTTAAAAATCAGGTGAGAATAACAAGGTATCTAATAACTCTTTGTTATAGTTATCATTTCCTTCACTCACCTCAAAAGTATTTCTTTTCTTTTTTTTTTTTTTTTTTTTTTTTTAGTGCCTCCCGTTGTATCTGAAAAGGTCTCTAAAATGTCTCCCTTTTTTAACGGCAGAATACCAATTTCACGCTAAATGCATGAGAGCCTTCATTCCATGGGAGCACATATCTATTAATCTTTCTTTTTTCTTCCATCTTTCATTTTAAACAGTAGGTTTATTCTACATTAGATTTTCTTTCTAAAGCTTTATAGATTTATTCTTTAATTATATAAGTGTTTGTTATGCTTACAATTATATTTGATATTATATTTCTCTATCTGACTTAGAGAGACTGCTAATGAAGCAACTGTGTAGTAAAAAAAAATGTACAAATGGAAAGCAAAATTGTTTTCTGAACTCACTTGCATGTGACGGTGCTGAGAATGCACATTTTTGCATCTCCTAGCAATTTTTTAAGGCCCTCAATAATCATATATGTTTTATATTTAAGACGGTAGTCTAGGAAGACTGGGAGAGAAGATATACTACAATAATGGTCTCATTGTTACTCTACCTTTTCTGCCCTTTATTTCTGTTTTATACTAGAGAGCTCCATCAGCATTTTTGCAACTCGGTTCAGCTGAGAACTGAATTGCAGAGTGGCTGTGTAACAAGACAGTTGGCACTGTAGTCCTGAGTAAAGTGGAATGTGGCCCTCTCTTTTTGCTCCCTTAAGAGTCAGTGTGCAATACCCACACAGTAGTAGTCAGTCATTTTCCCTAAGAGGAAAGACAAACATAAATTTGTTCTGAGGTCCTAGTTATTGTAATAAAAAAATCTAATTTGCAAGGTGGAAGGCAGAGCAGAATTATTCAGGCATGGCTGAGTGAAAATGGAGAGAAAAGGTGATCTCTTTATTCCAAATTTGGAGCTTCTAAACTCTTTTTAGTCTACAAATACTGCAAATTCTTAAATATATTCACTTTGTCATGATTTCTATTTATTTTTAACACCTTGATTCAATCCTTTGCCCTCTACTGGATTAGGGAGAGAAACAGCTTGAAGCACTCAGAAAGAAAAATAGCTCTAGGAAGACAACGAGGCAACCATCAAAACAAAAAATATCTGCTTCCTTCATTACCTGCGGCACTCTCCCAATTGAAAACATGTCTTTTCAATCTTACTATCTGAGACACAGAGGTAGGCCTACTACAGCCAGCAGAACAAATGTTTCCTACAGCCCATTTTTGTTAATAAAGTTTTATTGAAACACGTCTACCATCAGCATCCATTGGTTTATGTATCAGCAATTGGCTGCTTTCATGCTCCATTGGCTGAGATGAATAGTTGTGACAGAGTCAGTTAAGACATGCAAAGCTGAAACAGTGACTATTCTTTTACAGAAGTTTTCAAACTGTTAGATCATTGATTATTACATTTGAACATAATTCACATAAATGCCACTATATACACAAATTTGTTTTAAAGAACCAAGCACATAAGCTACTTTATAAAGTCAAGAAATTCTTTGAATTTTAAATGCAGAAATTCTGGAAGAATTTCATCTGTAGAATTTATTGAACAAGACAGAATAATGTAAACATTCTGTAAACTGTGTAATACAAGAAACACACACATCATTTTATGGTTAAGGCTCTTCCATTAGCAGCAGTTTTATAAGTGTGCATCATTAGGTGATGGTCGCATGTGTTATAACACAAATAAATGTAATTATTCCCAATTCAACAGTAACCTGATAATGCTAGGATTCAGGACAAAGTTGTTTAAGATAGAACTCAATAACTAAACTCAGAAGTAACTGTCATTTCATTTAAAAATCATATAATTAACATAAATTTGATCAATCATCTATAATTTGTAAATCAAACTCGTGTTAACATTGTACTCATAGTAAAACATCTGGGAACGGAGGAAAGTCATAAAATGACAGAATACTTGAATGAGATCTTACAACAGCAAAAACAGTAAACAACCAAAACAAAACAAAGCAAACACAAAATAGGCAACTTACGAAGGATATAATTTCTCTAGCACTGTGTCACTTACCCTTAAGCCTTCCACACCCTAGACTGTACATTGAAACTCTCTCAACTACTGCCTTCTTCTTACCGTATGATTGTAACGTAGTATTTTAGCTGAAGACCTGGATCATAAACTGAAAAGAACAAGTTAACTTATCCTCCCCTAATACTCCCAAAATCACAAGACAAATAGTTTTTAATTTTCTTCTTGAAGAGTCCATTTTGACCAAACGTGATACTGTGTCAACTCCTTAACCTCCCTGTTTCAGTTCCTTCCTCAATAAAAATTTAATAAGTCGTGCTAATTCAAGAAATTGGTATAAGCATCAACCCAGAGTACCCTAGCAAAGTGTTTATAACATCTTCCCTGCTGTTCAACAATGATAATTGAAAGTATGATTAAATTCATTGTATTAAAGAAATACAAATATTAAGAGGCTTATTTTTCTTTTTGGCTATTCATCAACATATTTGCTACCTGTATTCAATTTTATTGCCAGTCTAAAAAATTACACAGATGTAGTAGCTTAACACCAATTTATTATCTCACAGTTCTGCTGTATAGGAGTCCTACCATCAAAGTGTCAATAGGGTTTCTTCTTCCATTTCAGTCTGGAGGCTCTTTGAAGATGGCTCATTTCCTTGCGGTTTCATAAAAAGGCCTTACATGCAAAGTGGCCTCTTAATGCAGAAGGAGTCAAGAAATCAAAAGAGGTGGACGAATCCAGCTTGTCATTATAGGGTGATTTTGTTGGGAAACTTACTGGACAGAAACATGAACTTAGGCTATTACAAGACAGATAGATCTCCACGCCATTACCCCTCAGATCCAAAGATTGTATGCTGTAGGGAAGGGGTGTACATGCTTCAGGGGGAATAAGTGAAAATTTGATCTAAGGGCAGGACTTATCGTAAGCATGTGCTCTCGTATAAGGAACAAAATATAATCTGGAAATTCCAGAGGCATTCCTAGAATTTAGGTTAATCAGAAGTATTATGAGAAATTAGCTTCCAAGATGGACTTGTCTTTTGGACAGGTCTCCACACTTGACTCTTGCTTCAATAGCCTATCTTCATGTCTTGGCTCACAGCTACTTCCTCCACTTTCAATGCCCATCATTCCAAACAACGCTTCTGTTATCATATCTCTGACTTTGATCCTTTTGCTTCCCTCTTACAATAGCTCTTGTGATTACATTTGACCCACCCAGATAATCCAGGATAATCCCTGTATCTCAAGATCCCAACTTAATCAAATCTGCAGAATTTCTGTTACCACGTGACATTCGCAAATCCTTGGGATTAGCATGAGGACATGTTGTGGAGGGGGGATTATTTCCTTAGCCACAATACTTTTCTGATTTTCAGACATAGTAATGATTATTCCTTATCCCCCAGGTCCTTCCTCCTGCCTCTCTCTGTTAGCCTCTGGGGTCCTGTTACAGACAGCAGTTTCTCTTACCTCAACCTTAGTAGGTTAATAGCTTAATTTTTCACTTTTTCTCACTTTTTGGTTCCCTTGCACTCCACAGTGGGTGGATTGACCACTTTTATTAAGTTTTGTTTTGTTGTTGTTACTGTTTTGGTTCTCATTATCATTGCCTTTTCCCTCTCCCCCATCTCTCTCTCCAGTTAACCAGTGAGCCATGCCTAATCTAGCCTCTTTCATATTGCTTAATGTTTTCTGTGCCTTTCTCTCTACCCTTTCTGGCATCTGTCATCACCTTAGGTCCAGCTTTCTGTACTTGTTATTAAGTGACTGTAACAACCCCATATAGGGTCAATTCCTTTTATTTATTTAAGACATGGTCTCCAACCTGCCCCCACCCTGCCACCCCCACTCTCCACAGGCTGAAGTGATCCTCACAACTCAGCTGGGACCACATGAGGGCTAAGCTTTGTATTTTAGTAGGGATGGAGTTTTGCCATGTTGGCCAGGCTGGTCTCCAACTTCTAGCCTCAAGTCAGCCGCCAGACTTGTCCTCTTAAAATGCTGAGATTACAAGCATGAGCCATCGTGCCTCGCCTGATTTTTTTTTCTCTCTGCATTCTAGTCTTTATAGCATAGTTATAGTGATTATTCATAAATGTAAATATGATCCTATCACTCCAATTCTTATAAACTTTCAATAGTTCTCTCTGGTCTCAATCCACTGTTTGAGCTCTTTGGCTTGGTGCCTCGGGTCCTTCTGAGTAAGTCGTGAGCCAGCTCTTTGGGATCATACTCTTGCCACTCCCCCTCACCCACAACCCACACATTCACTGTTCTATCCACACTGAACTTCATGTCATTCTTCCAGTGTGCCATGCCCTCTTCCTTCCAGGCTTCCTTCCTCACTTTATCTGAAATATCTTTCCTCTACCACCCTTTCATTTGGCTGGCTCAGACTCAACTGAGCTTTTCCTTGGAAAAGCCGTTCCAGACTTTTCTTGGTTTTGCTAGTTGACTCTCCTTTGTACTCCACTAGATCTCAGTACATAAATGTATCTTAACGTTATCTTTGCTTAGGAGACTTTTATTTGCAAGTAATACAAAGCCTGACACAAACTGACTTTAACAATGAGGCAGTGTGTTATATCACACAGCGACTAAGTATGCCATTATCAAGGTTCTGGTTTCCTCTCTGGGAAAGAATGTGTTTTTGCACATTTTGTTGTGTTGACTTTATTTTCTATATGC